TATGTAATAAGGAGTGGATCAAATGAGAACACTCCTTAAAATAAGTACGTGAAACTAAATCTTAGCCATCAACTTTGTGTAGTCAATGTCTTATATAAATCAATTATAATATACATTAACTATATAATAAAAAATTAATTTTAATATATTTAAATCTATCTATATATATATAAAAAGAATTACCATTTTTTAAAAATGACTCGAACTCGATACTTATTTATAATTATTATTTAATATTATTTATCCGTGCATCGCACGGGATACGCACTAGTTAAATATAATATAAATAATCCGGTCAACGGCGTTGACCACTGGCTGCCGATTGTTGACCGCTGGCCAACAACCATTGACCAATCCACAACACCTTAAACCACATTTTCCGGCGGATTTCACCGGCTACCTCCTCACCCAGTCAAGCCACAGGTCCTGCAGCAGGATTTCGCCGCGCGCCAGCCACCCAGCTCCCGACCGCCACCTCGCAGTCCACAGCCACCGGACGGACGCCATTGTTACCGACCTGACCGCCGAGGCTGAGGTCGCTTCCCCCACTGACTCGTAATGTTGAGGTCGTCATCCTCTTGTCGCTCATCTCTTCCTCCGAAGTTGAGGCGACGACGTCGAGACAACCCTTGACTGCTAAGTCGTGCTCCAAATCTAAAAGCTGCAAACCCTAAAATCGAAAATGGGGCTGGCCGGAATGATGGACAAAGCTTGGTCGGAGGGCGGTAGTCTTTAGGATCTCTCCATCGGTATCCTCAAGGCGTGGGGAGGGACGAACGAGGGTAGAGAAGCTGGTCGGAATTCTGGCTCTGATTTGGGGATTGGGGCTTGACTATAGGAATTAGATAAAATATGGGGCTTATATGAAATTTATAAACTTATGAGTAATTAATTGAATTGATTCATAGAGGTCAATCTATAATTTATTTAATGTTTAATGTTTAAATTTATTTGATTGATAAATATTTTTTTTTTCAATCAATATTTATAGATAATTTATTTTATTATAAAGATGAACATAATTATTTATTTATTTTATATACATTATATGGATGTGAAATCAAAGCTTCTCAAGAGATTATGTACACTACAAGAAAATAATGAAATTTCAACGGAAATATATTTCAATAGAACTATTCCAACGACAATTCCAATGGATAAATCAATGATATTTTTTCCGTTGAAATTATTCAATGGATTGCAACGGAAATTCCAACAAAACTATTCCGCTAGAATGAGTTATACATTGAAATTTCCATTGGATTTTGACGATTCCAACACTGGATTTTCAATGGGGGTGGAAACCAAAATTCCAACGAATATTCGTACGCTAAAAAACCGTTGGAAATATAGTCGTTGGAATCATCAAGTTTCATCTGAAATTCCAATGAAAAACGTATTTCAACAGGAATACTTTTGTTGGAATTTCCGTTGCAACCATTCCAACATAAGCTATATTATTGGAATATCCGTTGAAATTTATATTGGAATATATTAACATAGGATTTTCCGTTGGAATAAAAAAAAAAATTATGTACTGATAAATTCATATGATATTACGATTTTGATTTAATCTGCATTAAATATTAACGAATAACATTTAGATCATACAATTAAATATTTGTATCTATATTTCTTACATTTATCATATTTGAGTTAAATATTTATACGATCATTATGATTATTTTTCCTTTTCAGTTTCAAACTAAAGATTCTTATATTTTCGTCATTTAAATAAAAACTTAATATATTAAATTATGAACTCAGTGTACAAATCTCAGACAACTTAAGATACAACAAATGGTATTTATTTAAAATCGTACATGTTGTGCAAGTGCGAGGCATATCATATTCTTGGTTCGTTGCGCTTGACTCAAGTCAAGTTTATATTAACTAAAAACTTAATAAAACCAAGGAGTATGTCATGGGAATTGGGATATGACCATGATTGGCATATGCAGTTACTTCTATTATAGCATTAATCACTAGTCTTTTATCCAAGTTCACTTCATTAATTTCCCACACCTTACCTTGTTTTTCGGTCCCTTGTTTGCTTATTCCACGCTAAACTAGTGATTGTGAATAATACATATAGCCATTTATGAAGCTCAATGATGATATGTTTGATTGTGCATGCATGCATGAACTGTGATATTCTTTTTTTTTTCTAATTAGAAATATTCAATTTCTAAAACAACAAAACAATTTACAAATAATTATTACCCTTTCAAGTCTTTGATGGAGGCTGGTTTTGAATTGGCGCACACCACGTCCACTAGAATTAGGATCCAATCTGTGTGCCTTTTCAAAAGCATAAAACCGACCTACATGAAAAAATCATAAAGAAAAAAGAAAGATAATTATATTTCACCATATATTCGAGCAATCTTACTTTCTTCTCTAACTCAACGAAACAAGTACACAAATATGGGAAAGACGATTATTAATGTATCGTGCATGCAACATACATAGGTAGGCAACACGGGGGCGTTCGTTCTGAATTTCAGTGGCGACTCGGAGAATGGGGGCAATTGATTGGAGAGAGGAAGGCACGACTTCAGTGTCGAACACCTCCATCGAGAAGGTGGTGGTGGCACTGCGGGAGGCTCGTCTCGTGAGGGAAGGTTGCATACCGTCATGATTCCCTAACGACGTCATTTCTTTATTATTTCTCATTTGATTTCTCTGCCTAGCTCTCTCGAGGATTGAGGCAAATCAATCCTCGACGATAAGCTTAGCTAGAGAAACAACGATCAACACCTTTCTTTATCTTTCTCGGTCCCACTACATTGCGATACACAAGTGATCAATCACCTAATTAATGAATTAAATAAACTTAAATGCATGAAATATGTGAATGAATGAAACTTACGTGGTGGATTTATTGTTGTGTATGTTAGAATGGAATGTTGGGTTTGTGCAGAGAGAAAAATGATGAGGTTGAAGAGATAATAGCCTAAGGGTTAAATGGAGATGGATAAAAAAAGAGAGGTCAAGTTAAATGGACAAAGTGGTCTAATAGTCATAAATAACACGTTGTGGTTTTTGAGGATTTTGTGGATTGTTTGTTGAAAAATTGTAGGAACCTCATTTGTTTCGTTTTTCTTTGTTTTTTCCTATCGGTTCTTTTATTTTCTTTTTTATTAAGTTTTATTTTTCTTGTAATCATGGTCTAAGTTAATGATAATTCATTGACCTTACTATTTTCTTTTCCTTTTAGTATTTGCTCACTATTGAGTTAGTTAAAGATTTGGAACTGACTACAGTCCCGTTACAGAATGATTTCGTCAATATTTTTAACCATGAATTATCTATCCTACACTAATCTACATGTGTATCTAAAAGTTAACAATAACCACATAATCATTTCGTGACGGGACAGTAGTGATTCCTTAAAGATTTATATACTTTAGAATACTTTTAGTTTATCAAATCAATTATGAACTGTTTTATCGGATTCTTTTGTGGATTCATGTCGATTGGGAGATAAACTGACTGAGGTCAGTTAGTTGACCTGCAAGCATCTTCACCTCCCCTAGTTTGCTTGGTGGTTTCACGTCCATGATGGCTCGCACCTTCTTGGGGTTAACCTTGAGTCCTCTCTTCATTATCATGTAGTCTAATTGTTGGAAAATCAAATATAAGAATGTGGGTTTGACCCGATTTCAACTGATTCTTTGATAGCTAAATAAATAATCTAGGTTGAATTTAATTGTATAAAAATATTTTACATTTCAAATGGATACTCGTGGTATATTTATTTTCTCAAAACTTATTTTTTGTGAGTGTTGTTATGTGATTTTTAACAACGATGTAACTTGAGATTAAGTGGATAATTTTGAATTATTTGGACGTAAAGCATGTAAGATTTACTCAACAATGGCCCCGGTCCGAGGTGAACCGAGGTGAAGAGCCGTGATGGGCTTTTTCGTGTTGCTTAGTAAAGTATTTTCAGTTCGGAGAGAGATCCCCGTACAAATGTTATAGGCCCGCTATTTATAGTGATTTCGGGTTGATACATTGGGATCTGTGCATGACTTTTTCGAATAAAGTTACTTTTTGTGGGCGGTTTGAGGCAGGGGGTCCCACATAAATGATGACGGATCTTGTGGAGCTGGAGGGTCACACGTAGGCGCCTTGTCACCTGCTTAGGGAGGTGACGACCTCGGTTCACGTTGATCTCGGAAGACGTTGACCTCGGTAGTTGTTGACCACTTCGGCCTTTGGTAGTTCAGACCGGTTCTTTTGTGTAGATTGGTGCGGTTCTGATTCACGTCGGTTTAACAGTTAATCGCATTTAACAAGATGCTTAAAACCTCTTGATAGTGTCTTGCCGAGTCGGATGATAGCAGAGAGGCCCCCAACATCGATGGGCATACGGAGTGATGGTCGTTGATGTTGCAATGCCAGGTATTTGGAGACCCTGGATCGGCAAGAAGTCGGCGGTAAGATGTGGTCTATGGTGTTCGGTGGGTCATCTTCGGTCTATTTACCGATGTAACCGAAGTGGATCATCTGTCCGAAGTGTAGACTGTATACCGAGGTGAAGACACTTGGTGAATTTTGGATAATCTTCAAGCAGTTACGACAGAAGAGGTGAACGGTCGTAACGGTCAACGAGTAAGTGTTTAGGCCGAACGGTCGCGCCGTAATGGTCTTAAATGAGGTAACGGTCGACTTTAATAGGCAGCCACGTGTAACAGTAGGTGTCTCATCAGATGAAGGGGTGGTGTCGATTGGAATTAGGGGTCGCGTCGGTTAGACGCGCCCCTAATTAAAGTCTCTAACGGTCGTGAATCTGAAATTATAAATAGGGTTTCGCAGCGTCTGATCGAACTTTCTTCACCTGTGCTTTCATTCTCGAATTTTTGTGTTCAATAATCCTGTTATAGAAATCCTTTCTGAGCTTGAGAGTTGTTTCTTGTGCGCTGAATATTTCCGGATTTGTGGTAAGCTTCTTCTTTGATTCTTTATTCATTTCTTTTGTGTTGTGTTCTGTGGTTCGATGGCGTCAAAAGATAAGGGTAAGGCGGTGGCTAGTTTGTCGAGCACGGAGTCGGTTCCGTTGGATGTTTATCACGATTCGGAATTGGTCGAGTTGGCCTTTGAATACCACCGGTGGGACCCGTCGTTGGTAAGGCATTTGAATATCCAGTTAAACGACGAGGATGGTGACTTGGTAGTTGAGCATAATGCAACCGACCTCGCGGTGCCTCATTGGAGAAGACCAGTGAGGAGGTGGCCCGATCCGGCGATTGATTTCATTGGCGAGCCAAGCATTCTTACCGACGCTGACGTCGTCATGTTGAGAGAACAAGTTCGGATTCCCCCCTCGGTGAAAATCTTTGCTCCTTATCCCGGGGAGAGAATTACAAGTCCCCCTCCGGGTTGCGTGGGCGTTTTCGCGGAGAGTCTGAGGTCGGGATTAAGGTTCCCGTTGCCGAACTTGATCACGGAATACCTCCGGAGTTGGGGGTTACCGTTGTGCCAAATCACGCCGAATAGCTGGAAAAAGATAATCGGATTGATGGTGTTGCTGCACGAGAGGGGTGAAGGACTTCCTTCGTGCGATGAGATGAGGAGCATTTTTGCGTTTAAACAAAGTCCGAAGAGAAGGGTGGCCGAGTCGTCTTGTTGCTTTTTTGCCGGGGCGAAACCGCAACATGGCGTTAAAGTTGGGGAAATTGTAACTGAGATTCCGGAAAGTCTCCATGGTTTCCAGGAAGAATGGGTGTGGATAGGCGGAGAATGGCAGTCGGTGGACTTCTTTCATGAGCGCCGAATTGATGGGATGACAATTCCTATGTTAATTCATTCCGGAGCCAGTGAGTTTACTTTGTTTTTTTTTAATTCGGATATACCTGTATGATTCTCGTATTGTTCTGTGTACTAACAGGTCGGAACTTTTACTCTGTTGTAGAAAAAGAGACGAAGCAAAAAGAGCCGAAGTTAAGTCCGGAATTCGGCGGGAAGTTGATAACCTTAGCCGGTTTGGATAAGGCAGAGAGGGATTATCGCAAGCTTGTAGTAGACTCGAAACTTGAAGCGGCCGGTTTATCTCTGGGAGTCACGACATCGAAATTTGACCCCGGTAAGAAAAGTTTAGCCAATAAGAATATCGAATTTCTTCTCTTTTCTCTCTTCTTTTTTGTATATATGAAGTAGCTGTTTGTAACTCTTGTCTCTTGTTGGTATGCAGTATATTATCCTCTCCTCGGTTTCTTGGGCTACAACTCTGTCAAGGAAGCCAAGGAGTTCAGGCGTAAATTTCCGAACAGAGACCTTCAATCTAAAGTCGGTAAGAGCCGTGATTTGAGACTGAACGACGCTATGAGGAGGGATCTTGTTCGTGCGTTGGTGAAGAAGACAGCTGGTCAGAAAAATGCCGGGAAAAAGTCGACCGAGGTGGGGTCAAGTGCCACTTCGGCTGCCATGCCGGAAAGTCCGAAGTCTGTGCCCGAGGTGGCGACTACCGAAGTGTTATCGGTAGTAGAAGCTGTGGCGATCAATCAGGCTGATCCAGAGCCAATTATAGCTGGGACCGAAATGGTTACTACTGAGGCTGCCCACACCGAGGTGCCACCAGCTTCCCCGAAGTCGCTTGAGTTGGAGCGACCAGAGAAGAGAAAGAAGAGGAAACTGGTGAAGATGGCGAACGTCGATGCTACGTCCGGAGTGGAGAAAAGGTCCAAGAAGAAGAACGACTCCGGTCGTAAAGCGACTGAGAAAGGTACTGATGACTCTCCCTTGTTTGAGAAGTCCTTTTTAACAATCGATGAAGAACGGGCTGCGAACGTTAAAGTGCCCGAGGGTGTGGTGGAAGATTGGTTTTCCACTTTCTTGTCGGTGAAGTCTCCCCATATGTCATCGAGAATTGAAATGCCGGAAAATGCGAAAGATGCTGCTCGGGTCCCGTTGATGGTTTGGGACCCCAAGTCCGAGGTGGGAGTCTCTTCCCTGTCCAGTGTTGACAAACTGAATTACGCTAAGGCATGTGTTGGCCGAGCCTTGGTTAGTTTAGTGGCAGCCGAGGATGATCATCGCCGAGTTGCGTCGCAGCTGGAAGGAAAGAAGGATATCATTGCGGTGCGTGACGCAGCGATCGTCCAATTGAAGGAGAAGTCCACAAAAATGGAGGCCGATTTGAAGGGCCAGATTGCTGAGAAGACTGCCGAGTTAGAGAAGGCAAAGGTGGAGACGTCGGCATTGTCCGAGGAGAAGAAGACTTTTGAGGCCGAAGTGGCCGATCTCAGAGCACGTCTTGCCGTGGTGGAACAGCATTTCAAGATTTCTGAGGCTAAGCTGGCGGAAACTGAGAGGGCCTTATCAGAGGAGAAAGCCAATCATGAAGCAGCTCGGAAAGAGTGCGCTGAGACTCGCGAACTTGTGGGTCGGCAGCACGACGCTCATCAGGCCGATATAGCCAAGCTTGAGAAGGAGAAATCTGCTTATGGAGAATTCATGTATGAGAATGGATTTCAGGCCGGGAAAGATTCGGTTATCGCGGAACCGAAGTCCGGGGACAACGCCGAGGCGGATGCTGATGAGGCCGGTGAAGAGGATGAAGCCGGTGGTCCTGACCTCGAGATCGAAATGAACACATGTTTGAATTTGAGGTGGATCATTGAGCGTTACGACGCCGGCTACTATGATATCGA